CTCATCAACCAGTACTAACATAAAAACGGCATTTAAAAAATACCCCTTTTGCAGCATAATAACTTTATTATTGCTTGTAACACAATAAAAGGCAATACACATTCAAATAGTATTAAACAAGAGCAATGGAATAAAAAAAGAACCATCCAAATCGCCCAAGTATTAAGCTTGTTTCAGTAGTAAACGTGTTCGGGGACAATTCTGGACGGAGGAAGTACTAATATATTGGGTGATTCCCGTAAACATAGAATCTATGCTGACATAAATCGAGTCTATGACTCAACGGGAATAAGTATGTAAAATCTTAGAATCATAGATATTGAATTATGGCGCGCTACATGTGCTTAATTTAGGAATATGGAATTTTGGTTCAAATTAACAGAAAAATAACAGTATTCTCGCCAAATATTGAGAACACATGGTGCCAGCGAGCCCGCCAAAACAAATCTAAAGTGTCAGAAAGAGCCGGGGGAGCCCGCCAAAACAAATCCAAACGCTCACTATACAAAAACTGAAGTAACTGGCCGGAATACTAGCTAGCATCCTCACTAAAAGGACCACTAAGACAAGGAAGAAGCCTGATGGAGTCATGTCAACAGGAATTAAAAGTTGAGAACCCTGAGAACCCCCCCTTCCCCGGGGGAGGAACTGCTTGGAATGTAGCAAAACGCGTGTAGTTTCGATGTGATGTTTCCAACACAAAAAAAACAACGTCGATCTGCAAAAAGAACACCCCGGTCCAAGATGGTTCTAACAAGAAACGCACAGCAGCAACAACCAGTTGCAGGCAGGAGGACTGGTCCGCGGAATGGTACAGTGAACTACACCACTCAGGAAACCACTGACTTGATGTACGTGATCTTGGCAATCCTTCCTATTGGAAGTGACCAGTGGAATGAAGTAGTAGCCACTCACGCTGACAACTATCCTTACACCAATAGGGACGTCCCCTCCATTCGTAGGAAGTTTGCATCCCTTCATAGGAAGAACATCCCTACTGGAGATCCTAACTGTCCTTTAGCAGTGAGACTTGCCAAGAGGGCCAAGCGCTTGATTGGAGAGAAGGCAGACATTGGAGATGGAGAGGAGCACTTTGATATTGAAGAAGGATATGTGCATCCTGATGGAAGGAATGGCGACCCTGAGGGTAATCATCGAGCTCCTGCTGAAAACAGCAACAGCAGCAACAACAGTGGCAATGTTAGTCGCGACAGGAACAGTGGTGGCAACAACGAGGGCAATGCAAACAACAACAACGACGCGACAAACAACAACGCGACCCCTCCTCCTCAGCTAGTACTCCAACAAGCTTCCCAAGAAACAGGAGTTTCTCAACTTACTCAGCAGGAAGAGGCAGTTCCACCGATTGTTGCAACTGCAAGAGCTGTTACACCAGCAAGGAGAGCCCCTCGAGTCCGTTCTTACAACTCCGCCAATTCAAAGCAGCAAGGCATCATTAAGGCATTGGAGGCCTGTGTTGAACAGCGCGAGAGAGCTTCTCTAAGAGCCAGGGAAGAAAGACAKGAGGCCTACCAGGCAATTGGAAGTGCTCTTGGATCCCTTGTCWCCATTGCCATGCAGCACTTCAGTCCAAAGGCTGGTCGAAAGCGCGGCCGCAGCAGCAGCGACGATTCCGACAATTCCGAGGATTCCGATTCTGATTAGCTCGTCCCATTGTCGATTCCCATTGTCGCGTTTACATTTAACTACATTAACTTTATCTTACTAATCACTACTTTAATTCACATCTTCCATTTGGTTCATACTGATACTGACTGCTGCATTATGGAGCAAAGCGTTTGCAGCGTATGCAGCGTTAGCAGCGTTAGTGGAGGATTAGAATAACTCCTACGCGTTAGCTCGTGTTGTTCAGTACTGTTTCTACACAGTCTTCCGTATATTTTCAAAGAAGTCAACGGACGCCTAAGAACTCAACGCCCCAAAATGCATTGCTTTTATGACCCACCAAATCTTTCGATAATTAGTTTATATTAGATCATGATTATTTCTTATTGATTCTATTCCCGCCTCCTTATGGGATATCCAACATGCATTGCTTTTATTAATTATATTCAAAATGTATATTTCTTATTGATTCTATTCCCGCCTCCTTATAAGGGAATCTTTGTGATTCAACGCTTCAACGGTTCAACGGTTCAACGGACCATGAAAATTTCAAATAACACGTAGTATCGTGTACAAAATACAACTTAACACGGTGTAACGCGTAGTAGCTTTGCTCTCACTCATCGACTGCTGCTCAGCACTCAGCTCACTTGCTTGTTGCTCAAGCCTCCACCAGCCAGTATGAATTACAGTAGTTTAAACTTGATTAGTGGTTCTAATCAAATGGTACGTTGACCATGGGAATTGTATTGTTCGTATGCGTTGTTCTTATTGCGTATCGTTGTTGTGTTGTCGGTATTTGCGCTGTTGTCGGTGTTTGCGTTGTCGGTGTTGCGTATCGATGTTGCGTATCGATGTTGCGTATCGATGTTGCGTATCGATGTTTCGTATCGATGTTTTCGGCTCTCACCAAAACAAGCTGTTTGCATCCTCATCAACTGTTACACTATGACCAAAGAAGCCCCTTTTGTGTTGCTCATTGGGCATGAACACATTAAGGATCTGATTGATGCCTACTGTGCTGGCTTGATAATTATACAGCAAGATTGCTGTGTTCAAGAGAATCTTCCTTTCACCTTGCTCCTCATATCTGATCCTGTCCTTCAGCCTTGGGAACTGTCCTTGGATCATCCTCATGCCCCACTCAGCAAGCTGTCTCAGTGCTGTAGCCTCACGATTAAGGGATATTGCATCTCTAGCAGCTCTCATGTCTCCTGCTGCATAGGCGAGGTCGGGATCCTGTTGGGAACTCCTTATGAGATACGGCTTGCCCATCATTTTGAATGCTGAATCGACTACCACCTTAGCGCCATCATACAAGGTATACATCTCTTCCATCTTCCTGTACACGCCATACTCTGATATGGTGCTGTCATGCCAAGACCCAGGGCAATTGAATGTGGTTGCTCTAATTTTTCCATCCGGGGCAAAGACAAAGAGGCTGTTGACACATGTATCATAACACCATCCGTTGTAGAACATGTTCTGTACTGTCCAGTTTGAAGATTTCTGCAGTCCAAGCTTGAGTCCATCTGCAGCTCCCCACACTCTTTGCTCTCCAAGTCGTGGGTATTTCTCCCCAATAGCAGCAACATAAGCATCGATATCCTCTCTGGCAGGCGCCTGGATCCTTGCATCTGGATTGTTTTGCAATACATACACAAGGACACACCTGGAGAACTTGATCCACTTGTACAAGACGGTGGAGGTGAGTCCAAATGCCATGGAGAGGCTTCTTGCTACTGATCCCCGAGTCCTGAACCAGTGCAGGGTCAATCCAAGACAACACAAGGCTGTTGAGTCCCTATGGCGTCCCTTTGGCATTCCATTCCTGTGGAAGCTTCTTTTACGGATCTTTCCTGTTGCTTCATCAACCATGTACATGTTGAATACTGGTGCAAAGAGTTCCATGAGACCTTGGAAGACGTTGTGATCCACACCACAACAGTTCAGGAGGGCCTGCTCATTGCCGGAACCAAACAAGTGGAGGAATGGAGACTGATTCCATCTCCGGATGGAAATCCTTGGGTTTCTCCTATCCCTTCTATGCCTCTCCTCTGGAGACAGCTCTTTATCCAGCTCTTCGTGGAGAACTGTACAAAGGATGATGAATTCTAGCGACATGATTGTCGGGGGAGTCGATGTTCCTTTTTAATGATCCAAAATTTCTGTCAGCAAGCATCGATATCCATTTGTTGCTGCTTTCTATCTTTTCAACAATCGATATAAAAAAGTTGACACTTTAGATTTGTTTTGGCGCGCTTTTTGATTTTGTGACACTGACACAGCAGTCGTGACACTTTAGATTTGTTTTGGCGCACCATTTTGGGCTCCCCCGGCGCTCGTTGACACTTGAGAACTGGCTGTCAGTTGCTCGTGACTAATGAATTTTTGAATCCAGGATTCCAAAAAATCTATGTCTTTTTTGCATACTTATGGTTGTCGAGCGCCTGCCTGAACCAAAAATCTATGATTCTGTGTCAAAAAGACATAAATCTATGTGTGCACGACTGAACTCTAATTCAATATTACATAGATCTGTGTTTACGGGAATCACCCATTATGGGGTGTGACAAGTAGTACTACTAGAGTAGTAGTGGTAGCAAAGGGGAAAAAATCCTAAATTTTCCGGGTGGCAACATCTGGCAACACGCGACGGGAAAAAGTTAATCCAGACGAGAAATCAATCGGTATTAGTTCCATCGAAAGAMACCCACTGACTCGATTCTTGGCGAAAATTTTCCACAGGAAGTACAAAAACGCCTAAGGATTGTTCGGTCTGCCGCTTAGTATTCGTCTTTTTYTTCCTTTGTCGAGTCAAAATGGCGACAGCGCCTCGGACCACGCAACAATATCCGAYTGCGGGTCCAACCGCSGCGGGCGGAACAAATGAGGTCGCTACGGCTATTCCAGCCCTAAAAGTGATGCGGCTCCAAAAACCCGAACTCGATATGACAAAAGCTGGAACACTAAAWCCTTCGGGCTGTTTGCTTGGTTCGAGTCTTTGCCTACCGGACTCGTTTGGTATCATTCACGTGGGAGAGACGTTCACCGCATATCTCGGGGCACTGAATGTTTCGAAAAGACTGCCTGTCACAAATCTAACGATAACGGCACAGTTGCAAACACCATCACAACGGTGGCACATGGCTTCGAAAACACTCGACGAATGCAACGCAGCGGGAGGATGCGAACTTCTTCCTGGGCAAGGCATTGATTCTATCGTTTCCCATGCGCTGGAGGAAGCCGGGCAGCACATTCTTCGTGTTGAAGTGGGATACGGAGGAAACGGAGGACCGATGAAGTCGCTGCGAAAATTTTATCGGTTTCAGGTTTCGAATCCCGTCGTCATGTCGGAACTTACCTACCGCACTGGCGATTCGTCGTGTTTTGTTTCAATTTCTCTCCAGAACAATGGCCACGAATCAAAGGGTGGGCTTACCGTATCGTCGGCAGAATTCGAGGCCGCTCCTGGTCTTGTTGTAGAAAAAGCTATTGCTTGTGCGCCAAAAACTGACGACACAAATAAAATAGGTGCACCAACCAATCATCTCGGCGAGGGATTAGATATGTTTGACAATTCTGGACGACTAGAGCCAGGAGACTCGAAGCGTTACATCTTTAAGGTCGGAGTATCGAAAGCAGACTCTGCTTCGGGTGCGTCCGTCAAGGGAATAGCTGCGGGAGATCAGTTAGGGAAAGCCATTTTTACATGGCGTAAAGCTTGTGGTGAAATGGGACGGATGGCAAGCTCACCTGTTGTATGTCCAATGTTACACCCAAATCTTGATCCAAATGATCCGGGAACGACAATGCAAGGGACTGGTACCGATTTCGTGGTCCACGTACAAGGGAGTAGTTTGTCCATTGATGTTGCGACTCATGCGGCAGGTAGAACGACAAATTCACCACGTGACGGAACGACACTCGACTTGCTATTGCCCCTCACAGTAGAACCCGTGAATCCATGCAAACAATTGCGTGTTGGGGTTCCTGTTGATTTTGCATTTTTGGTTGTAAATCACTCCCCAGAATTCGTAACCCCTCAGCTTCAATTTCGCTTGGAGCACATGAAAGGCATTRCGGTCTGCGGTCCCAGCTTTAAGAACTTGGAAGAAATTCCCGGGAACGGAGGGAGTACCACGGTGCTCGTGCGTTTTATTGCGTTGTCTACAGGGTTAGCACAGCTTACTGGGTGTTGTGTTTTAAATTTAGCTACGGGGCAYGTCATTGCTCAGCCACCCCTAATGAATATCATGGTCATAGAAGAATAAACTTTATTAGCTTGGTCCATTACATAGCAAGGATCCGTTACCCGAATCAAAATTTCTCCTTTTGTCTGATCCTCCCGTAACGATAGTCTCTTCGGAATGAACTCATTCCACTCGAATATTACGGGGGATGCCATCGTTGTCGAAATGGTTGCTAAGAAGAAAAACGCTGAAAAAGATAATCTCGTCAACGGAAAAGCAACGGTATCTAGTATTGGAGACTGAAGTGTGACGAACAAATAAAAAGTACAACAAAATGGCATTTGTTGTYTGTACGCGTATCGTTTTTCCACTCATTATTGAATCGACAATTATTTACTTATTACTTGTTGTATGCATGGGTATACTTGTGGCAAGTCACATATAACAACATAGATTAGTTTGCCACCACTCACATGATTGAAAAATGATCAAATAGTATTGCAATTTACAGCTTCATCCTTGGTTTTCAAAACCCCATCAGGGGAAACATTGCATCAAAGAGTCTCAACTCTTTTTCTCTTGCAACGCTGAGAAGTCGTGGTCATACGACACGACGAATTACTTCCACAACTATTGAGTCACTAAATTTGTGCGTCGTTTCAAATTCCATSAACTTGACTTTATATCACACGCAAACATCTCTGACGACTGGCGTTGGCGGTTCTAGATCGGGTCGTTGCTCCAAGACGACGTTATACCCAAAAATCTSGAAATCTCGGTGGTACATTTCATAAGTCAAATTTAAAGTCTCCTGGTCATAATGTTCATACCACGGTGTTTTGGTCTTGCGCTTATTTTCGTGCGGCATTCCCAGTAAGGCACAACGTACGGGATCTGGAAGGCACCGTATCGACGCCGCATCATTTGTTTTTGTATGTTCAACATTGGATTTTCCTTGCGAGCTATCACTGCTGCTCATACTGCACAATACGGTGTGGCCATCATCGTGATTTTCATCATTCACTTCCACGTCTTTCGAGACATCGCCCCTCGTTTTGTTGACAAAGTCGCTACCTGTCTTCGAGGCTTTCTTGAGGCACTTGAGTTCTTCTTGTTTTATTACGGAATGCACAAGCTGTTTGGTACCATTTGCATCGTGCGTAAACTCAAACTGCGGAATAGCATGGCATGGCGTATCCCATTCTTCCATTTTTCCGTGTTCTCGATAGTCTTTGATAGTTCGATCGTACCAAGTTCTCACGAAATCTGAAAACGATTCCCAGGGACCGAACCGATTGTACATATAGAGGCTGACCATTCGAGCATATGGATTCCTAACAATAGCAAAAGTTGAAACCTCTTCAAATCGATCTTCGCTGACATAGCCATAATCGATGATTTTACGTGCAGTCAAATGGGGTAAATAACCATGCAAATTACTCCCCATGATGTACTCTGTGTTTGCGATCAGTTGACATATCATGTAATGCACGATGCAAAGAAACATTCTTCGAATGAATCGTAGACGACATATCGTTGGAGCAACAAAGAAGTACGTTGACATGAAAAAAACAATAGAAGACCCTACAATCATTCCGATTGAAAGTGCCTTGTACTCCGTTTCCCTTATTTGCAATAAAAAGCACCCGATTACGAAAATAAAAAAGCAGGCTGCATTCATCTCTGTCCACAAAGGAAAGTTGTTTTTTTCCAAAAGCTCGTAGCGTGTGAAGAATATTCTCATGAAAAGTCGTCTATACCAAGCCCCTGCGGTTGTCACTTTTTTGGGAATATCGTGTGATTTCATGAGTGATGTTCCTCCACATCTTGGCACATGAATAAAAAGGAGATTCTCGAAGGGAATCTCCTTTCCTTTTTCCAACCAYGGCATAGTATTTTTTTAATTTRCAAGCTAAGAAAATACGACAGTCACCTGTGGCAATTTGGAGATCAGTTGTTTTAACTTGCTGTCAATGTAATGTGTCGTACRAACGGATTCTGAAAGGGTGACATGTACGGTACGTTGTACTGATGCTGAATCATTTGTTTTGAGTTCTCATGAAACGAAGATTGAAGTCAAAAAAAGCAAAAACTGAATAATTTTCTCTTCCTGGTACGAGTACAAAAGTACGAGTTCTCGCGTGTACTTGTACGAGTATTTTATGTCAAAGAGATGGCCCACACTTGAAATTGAAATYACAGTACTGTACTTCTACTTAAAATGGTACTTCACCCGTAATGATACACTTTTGACCRCTAGAAATGGACAAGAGTAACGATCCCCAATTTTTGTCCACGACTTGGRATGAAGTTTTGTKCGCTCAAGCTCTAAAAACGGTAAGCTCTACTGTTATTTTTTTGATGAGGCGCATATGGCTTTGGATATTTGAACTTGGAAAAGACATYTCGTGACAACGGTTTTGAATGATTCAGCTACGTKTGAGTACCGTACTGTAAACAACGGAGAAACAACAACATTTCGATCCCCAGGGTCACCTGTACGGTACAGTACTGTACCGGTAGGTACCGTAGAATGCCGGAGGTTGTTGACGAAGAGAGTCATCCCCGTTAAATTTATGACCGCTAGTTGAGGATAGGTATTGGTACACCGCATGCCGTGGYATGGGAACAACAACGATTCAAAGCCGGGTACAGTACGTACACATTAGAACATGCAAGAGGATAAAATTTTTACCAATAATTTTGGCCCAAAGCTAAATGGGTCATTCCCGATAGTCTAGAAAGTCTAAATTTTGATAGACAGACAGACCAAATTTAGACTTTCTAGTCCAAATTTTGAAGCCCCCCCCCCCACCGGCCTTCAAGATTTCTAAATCTAGACCGGAATCCAAGAATCAAATTCCGTTGTAGGACTCAACTGAAATGGCACGCGCCAAATATAAGAATGGTTAAAAATTTAGTTGCTAATAGAACATTACACATGTCTCTTAAAACATTGACAAGGCGCCTCTTGCCTCTTAAAACTTGAGAGACAAAGTACAATGTCCCATGTCTTAGTAACTGCTCTTCTTTATCTTCGATCGAGACAAAGAGCTGACCAACTGCAGGAGCTGCTGTCTCAAGAGGGGAAGCCGGCGGGGAAAATTCCTCACACAATATTCATTCCTCAAGCAAGAAAGATGCCKTCCCCTACTGGTCCTTATGCCACRATWCCTCCTTGCAATGGGGGGGGCTTCCCTCCAGCAGCACCAGTTCCTCCCCCGGGAGGGCAATCAACAAAGAAGAAGGCTGGCCGTAAGGGCGGTACTGCAAACTACACAGAAGATGAGCTTATCTCGTTGATGACCCTCATCAAGGAGATCCTCCCAATTGGCAAGAGTGATTGGGACATGGTGGTTCATAGACATGGACAAGACTGGCCCTATGGTAGGTCRAAGGAATCCATTAAGACCAAGTTCAATCGATTGAGGAGGATGAAKATGCCTRCTGGGAATCCTAACATTCCCRAGTCAGTCCGGCTTGCAAGAGAGGCCCATCGATTGATTGGGATAAAGGCAAATATTGGAAATGGAGAGGAGACCTATGATCCAGTCAAAGGCTACATCGATGATGAGGATGTTGAGGACTTGGAGGACCCTTTGAACCCAGCAAAATCAAGCAGCAAGACAGCGTCGACTTCCAACACGACCGACGACGATACCGAGGCCATTGTCGCRGCAGCACGACCGCCACCACCAATGCCRAAGAAAAGAACATATGGAAGGCTCAAGAAGGAACTTGCTGATCAGGATGCTGTTCTTAAGGAGTATCTGATGCAACAGGGCAAGAGAGATGCTGAAAGAGACAGGAAGGCTGATGAGAGGGCTGTCGAGGAAGCAAAGAGGGCTGATCAACGTTGGCTTACCGTGGCTCAGACCTTTGCCACGAMCATGGCTCAGACGTTAGCCACGACCATGGCAATGGCACTAAAYGGGGACAATGCAGTGGCACAAACTGGCAACAACAACAAGCGCCAACGCACTGAATCCCATGGTGAATCCAATTAATTCCAATCTTCTAGTTARCTACGATAAACGATTAGTAAACGATTCAGCAATATTTGAACAGCAATTCAACACAGTACAAGAATAATGAGCAGTATTGTGTAGTGAATCGCTGTGAAATACTAGCAAACAGCACGTTTGCCCGTGTTGTTATCTATTTTGCTGATACTACAACAAATGAAAACCGGGATTAACCGGGATTAGAACAACCGTTTCGTGCGATCAGCACATGCTATGCAATCCCACGAGCGCATGTTAGATTGCATTGGTCGGCACACACATGCACAGGTCGGCACTCACACAAGCATTGTTTGCATACCTTTTCATCATTACAGAATATATCTTGATGATTAAGATAATCATCTTCATTACAGTATATTCTGGTTGGAACGACTCCCACGAAGGGTATGCAAGAAAACCCATACCGGTATGCAAGAAAACCCATACTCATACTAGCAATACGCAAAACCACAGCAAAAATTTGGAATAACACGGTGTAACACTGTTAGGAGCTTTCTTGATGCATTGCTCACTAAATTGCTTTGCAACAGCGTGTGCTGCATAGAACTAAATTACTGTTAACAAAACTAACCAACTTGCCTCCCACCATGGTGGAGGGGACACAAACACTGTAAGTATCATTAGAGCGTTGAATCGATGTTGCGACGCGTTGAATCGATGTTGCGACGCGTAGGATCGACGCGTTGGAACGACGAGCATCGACATCATTGGATCGATCGATCGATCCACGCGTTGGATCGATCGCGTTACTAACTAATCAGTCCGTAATGAATCTAACCAGCTCTTCTTTTCTGTTCTGTATCACCATGGGAATTATTCAAAGAATGCATTGTTTCCAACTGGAGACAGGGTCCTCCCTGCATGGAAGTATCCAGCAGCAAGATCATGGAGTTCATGTGGCTTGTCTATTGCCTCACRAGTTGCTGGTGGTGYYTTCATGAAGACTGTTAAGATCTGGTTATGCCCAATGGTACTGCACTGGYAGTTGTACAAGTTGATCATTAAGTGAATGATCACCTTCCTCTCGCCGAAGTCTTCCAACCTAAGCCTATCCTTCATCCTTGGAAACTGCCCCTGGATCATCCTCATCCCCCACTCGGACATCTGTCTAAGTGACGTGGCGTCCCTATTTAATAGGATCTGTTCTTCCCCCTCGGGATCTGTTTGAGAGCTTTGAATTAGGAACGGCCTTCCTAATAAGCCAAAAGCTGAATCAACAACCACCTTTGCCCCTCCAGCAGYGGTACAGTCCGCGTCCAATGTCTCCATCTTGTCATATATGCCATAGTCACTGATGGTACTGTCGTGCCACGTGCCAGGGCAATTGAAAGTTCCTATGCGGATCCTACCATCAGGGGCAAAGACAAACACCCCATTCAYGTAAGTATCTCCCTTCCAACCATTGAAGAAGACCTCTTGCCGAAGCCAGTCTTCTGAAGACTGGATCTCCACCTTGAGCCCATCTGCTGCTGCCCAGACGCRTTGTTGTCCAAGTCTTGGATAYTTTGCTCCAATTGCTCTAACATATTCATTGATTTCTKGCTCACTTGGCAGATTGACCATGGCAAATGGGTGTTTRTGGAGCACTGACAGAAGGATTCTCCTAGTGAACTTGAGCCATTTGTACATTACTGTTGATGTAAGACCAAAGGCCATAGCCATTCCCCTTGCAACAGATCCTCTAGTCCTGTACCAGAAGAGCACRAGGCCGAGACAACAAGTTGCATCTGCTTYGCTTGGCTTTCCCTGCTTTTTACCACTCSTAGTGGGAGCAAGAAGAACAATCTCATTGTTCTTGTCAACTGTGTAACTGTTGAAAGCTGGAGCAAACAGCTGAAGAAGACCCCTGAAGACCTTKTGGTYTACACCACAACAGTTGAGGAGTGCTTGGTCATCCCCGGAGTGGAAGAGGAAGAMAAAGGGGGATTCAGCATATCTACGGATGGCTATGCGTGGTGTTCTTCTGTCCCTTCTGCGTCTCTCCTCTTTGGACTTCTGTTTTCCATCCCATTCATCCTTCAAGMGTCCTCTATGCTTGATTGCCCAGTATATGCAAAGGGTCTCAATGACACCCATTGTGTCTCCTTTGTTTGCTGGGAGGAAACTCTTGTCTTTTGTTTAGGATACAGCGGATTTTATGATAAGATTTATTTCATGTAGTA